GCGCATACACCCTGACCCACTGCTCACATACACCTAGCCCCACTGCACACACACAGCCCCCAGCCCCACTGCACACACACCCTGACCCACTGCTCACATACACCTAGCCCCACTGCACACATACAGCCCCCAGCCCCACTGCATACACACAGTCCCCAGCCCCACTGCACACACCCAGCCCCACTGCGCACACACCCGACCCACTGCGCACACACACCTAGCCCCACTGCACACACACAGCCCCCAGCCCACTGCTCACATACACCTAGCCCCACTGCACAGATACAGCCCCACTGTGTGCACACACACACCCTGACCCACTGCTCACATACACCTAGCCCCACTGCACACACACAGCCCCCAGCCTCACTGCATGCACACCCAGCTGCACTGCACATAGCACACAGCCCCACTGCACGCACATACACAGCGCCACTGCACATGCACACACAGCCTCACTGCACGCGCATCCAGCCACACTGCACACACACAGCCCCCAGCCACACTGCGTACACACACACACACACACAGCCGCACTGCACGCGCATCCAGCCGCACTGCACACACACAGCCCCAGCCCCACTGCACACACACATACACACACACATGCACAGCCCCCCTGTGCATGTGCACACACACAGCCCCACTGAGCACATACAGCCCACAACCTCATCACACGCACACACACCCCAGCCCCACTGCATGCGCACTCCCCCATAAGCCCAGTGACACACACAGTCCCCCTGCCCACACACAGCTCCACCATGCGCCCCCCCCACACACACATAGATTCTGGCCCTGGCAGTCAGGGCCATGCCAGCCACGACCCTCACCAACGCCTTTGCCATATTTGGCGCTGTGGGCCCAGCCGGTGGCGGCCACGAAGCCGAGGTGGCGGCACAACACGTGGGCGTTGGCCAGCGTGAAGTCGTCGTCGCAGATGGTGCCCCACTCCTCATTGTAGAAGACCTCGATGCGCCCCTCGTTGTGCTTGCGGGGGTACCCGGCCAGGCGGAACTTCAGCTTGGGGCCCTGGCTCTGCGCCGTGGGCGTAGGCCCGGTGCGCTGGGCAGCGCCCACCCAGAGCCAGACGCTGCAGAGCAGGGCCAGTAGTTCCTGCCATGCCCGGGCACTGCTGCTCCTCATGGCTGAGATGGGCCTGGAAAAAAAGGGGGATGGGGTCAGATGGGCCCCCACACTCGCGGGCAGGGGCACGGCCCCATGGCACAGCAGAGACTTAGGGCCTTAGAGCATGGCCTTGGGGCACGTCTGCATGTACAGCGCTGCACGGCCCAGGGAAGGGCCGGCCCCATACGGCCTTGGGGCATGTCTGCACGTACGGCGCTGTTCGGCCTGGGGAAGGGCCAGCCCCAGCCAGCCTTAGGGCACATCTGCATGTCTGGCTCTTCTCTGCACCCTCTCCAGTTTTTCAACATCCTTTTTAAAAGGTGGGCACCGGAATGGGTGCTATATTCCAGGTACCTGCCTCACCACTGCCATATACAGAGGGGAAATGTCCTTGGCGCTCCTACTCACAACTCCCCTGTTATACATCCAGGCATCGCATTAGCCCTTTTGCCCACAGCATTGCACCGGGAGCTCATATTGCTTTGCTTATCCACTAGGACCCCTGTATGAAATCAGGTTTGTTTGATGAAAGCTGTGTACCCACAAAACTAGGCTGAGTGGCATTACTTATATTCATATTCTTCAATTCATCATTATCTAACTGAATCCTGTATCTGCTTTTCCATTACTGATATCAGGCTAACCAGCCTATAGTTACTGGGTCATCCTGTCGGCCCTTACTGAATATTTGCACAACATTAGCACTTTTCCTGACTCCTGGACTTTCCCCAGTATTCCATAATTTATTACAAATAAACACCACTTGGTCAGAGATCACCTCAGCCAATTCTTTTAGGACTCTTGGGTGCAAGTTATCCAGGCCTGCTGATTTTAAAATGTTTATCCTTACATTCAACTTGATGCCATTTCATCATTTGGATATTACACAGTAATATGCTTCAGAAGGCAGCGTCTGATCAATGGCAGAATCCTATTGATTTTGATGGCAAGCAGGAAAACCGGAAGGTGGAAATGGGGGCACACAGAGCCCCGGCATGTCTGCAGATCAAGGAGCCAGTTGATGTCACCATTGACACCTTCCAGCATAACCCCCACCCCATCAGCTCTGCCCACCACCCAATGGAGTTTACCGTGTTAGAGAGAAATGGAATAAAAAGGAGGAAAGTTAGGGGCGGCAGAGAGCCCCTGGCATGGGAGGGAGAGGGAATAGGGGGACGCAGAGCCCCGGCACAGGGCAGTGGTTTCTGAGCATAGTGCAGGCATGAGGGGCACAGGGCACACTGAGTGGCAGACTCTGATCAGACGGGGCATGGCTGGCTCCCAAAACCTCAATGGCCAGGTCGGGTTTGCAAGAACAGAACCAAAGCCAGCTGGGAGATTGTTTGTGGGCAGGCAGCAGGGAAATGCTTTGCAGAGCTGTCCGGGTCGCTGTCCGCCCCCATGGAAGGCATCTGCCCCTACACCAGGTCAGATCATCACTGCGTCTCGCTGACCCCGCAGGATCAGGACTAAAAACGCCATCATTCACCTGCAGCTTGCCAGGACACGCCAGCCCTTCCTGCTGGACGAAGACCCCGGCACTGCTCCCCTCCCACCCGGAGCACTGACATTCCCTGCATCACAGGCTAGGCTGCTGTGTACACATCAGGCCTGCGCTCCTCCCCAGCCGGCCCCTTTGGTCCAGATCTCCAAAGCCATTCATGGACTCAGTCTGCTCTGGGCTTTGTGACCGGCATCTTCCCAGCAGCTGGGACCTTGGCAGCACAGTCCCAGTGCTGCAGAGCTCACAGTCTGAACTGCCCACGGGGGGAGGGGACACAGAGCAGCGGGGCAGCTGGGTTTTATTGGCCTTTCTCGCTCTCTCTCAGCAGAGGTCACTTGGGTTTTATTGACCTTTTCGAGAGTGGAAGGCAGAGAGACTGGGGCATGTTGGATCCAAACATTCAAACCTTCCAGCATGAGACCCCAGCCAGCTCAGCCAAAGGGGCTGCAGAAACGGGGGAGCAGAGGGACTAGCTCACCCACAATGGAAATATTGGTGTGTGTGTGTAGGGGGGGGGGGTTCAACACCGTGTAAACTCACGGAGGCAAGAGTGGGACCCAGAGGGGCTGCTGAAGCAGCCACTGCAGCACCCAGGATCGGGCCAGGGAGCAGATAGGAACCACTGGGACCCCCCCAGCCTGGAACTATCTCCCTCTTCCCCACCCCAGCTGAGCCTCAGCAGCTCCCCTCGCTCCCCTGTTCACAGCAAACTGTCCTCCCCCCTCCCCCCACTAGCAAGGGCAGAGGTCTGAAAAGAGACAGGAACAGAAACAGTCCAGCATGATGCAGAGACAGCAGATGTTTCAGTTCTGTGTTTGGAAAGAAGCAGAGTGAGGTTTCCATATCTTGCAGGGATAATGAAATGCTCAAGTCCATCGGTAACCAGGGAGGGTGTTAAACAGCAGCTGCTACAAATAAACAGCTTTGCATTGGCAGAACTGGATAACTTGCACCCGCAGTGTATGAAAAGTGTTGGCCCAGGAGCTGATAACTTGCACTCGCAGTGTATGAAAAGCTCTCTGAATCATTAGATGTTTTTCAACGTGGCTGGGAACAAGGGGAAATTCCGTGGGATGGAGCTCGTGGTGCACCAGTAAAAGGGGCACATAGGATGACCTGGGTTACTACAGGCCAGATGGCCTGATATTGGTCCAGAATAAAATCATGGACAGGCTGATATGGGAGGCAACGAGTCAAGAATTAGAAGATGGCAGCACAAGTGATGCCAGTCACCAGGGGTTATGGAAAATGGGTCTCGTCAAACAAATTTGATATTGTTTTTAATGAGATCCCACGTTGGACTGATAAAAGAAATGTGTTGTCATAAGAGATAGACTTCTGGAAGGCATTTGACTTTATCCCATGTGACATTCTGATAAAAAGATCAGCACTACACAAAATCACTGTAGCCCATAGTAAATGGATTAAAATTGGTTACCGGTTAGAGCTAAAATGTAACTGTGAATGGAGAATAGTCATCGAATGGGGGTGTTTCTGCAGGGGTCTTAACAGGGATCTGTTCTTGACCTGATGCTTTTCGATATCTTTATCCATGATTTGGAAGAAAATATAAAACCATCCAAGGGGTGTTTTCTCTCTCTGGGGAACAGGCTGTAACCCTCACCCCGTCTGAAGGACGTTTACTCTCTGGGTGAATTCAGCAAACCAGCAAGGAGAAACCGGACCCACAAATTCTAGTTTTCACAACACCCTCGCCCTGCACCCACCCATTGATGGCCTGCAGGATTTGCTCCTGAGACCCTCAGCACCTAGGGTGATCAGATGTCCCGATTTTATAGGGACAGTCCTGATTTTTGGGTCTTTTTCTTATATAGGCTCCTATTACCCCCCACCCCCATCCCAATTTTTCACACGTGCTGTCTGGTCACCCTATCAGCACCCCAGGACAGGCCTCTGTCACATGACCTGGAGGAATCATAGACTCATAGAATCATAGACTTTAAGGTCAGAAGGGACCATTATGATCATCTAGTCGGACCTCCTGCACAACACAGGCCACAGAATCTCACCCACCCACTCCTGTATCAAACCTATGTCTGACTTATTGAAGTCCTCAAATTATGGTTTAAAGACTTCAAGGTGCAGAGAATCCTCCAGCAAGTGACCCGGGCCCCACGCTGCAGAGGAAGGCGAAAAACCCCCAAGGCCTCTGCCAATCTGCCCTGGAGGAAAATTCCTCCCCGACCCCAAATATGGCGATCAGCTAAACCCTGAGCATGTGGGCAAGACTCACCAGCCAGCACGCAGGAAAGAATTCTCTGTAGTAACTCAGATCCCACCCCATCTAACATCCCATCACAGGCCATTGGGCATATTTACCGCTCATAGTCAAAGACCAATTAATTGCCAAAATTAGGCTATCCCATTATAACTATTGATCCCTAGGGGAGCAGCCACAGAGGGGGACATGACACACGTTGCCAGTCAGTCACACACCTCTGTTAGAGAGCAGGACTCCAGCGTTCTAATCCTGGTTCAGGGAGGGTAGCATTGCCCCATGGTTAGAGCAGCAGCGGCGAAGCAGTGTGGCCAAGCCGCTGAGAGCTGCCCTCTGGCTCCAGCTCTGCCAGAAGTGCCGTTGTGCAGCCTCTCGGTGCCTCATCAGTAAGACGGGCTGAGCCATGACTGCCCTTGCGCAGGGTCTGAGGCCTCGCTCAGTGCAAGGCACTGCACAGAAACACGGACAGCAGCCACACAGGGGCTCCCGGGTCCCAGCCCAGTGCCCCTTCCCGCAGGTTCCAGGATATTGGGCGGGGAGCCCCCCGCTCCAGTGTGGCACGGCAGGACAGGCAGCCCCCATCACATGACACGTGCAGCCCAAACAACCCAGCCGCCCTGAGAGCTCTGCTTGGGTAGGGAGGGCACAAGGAGAGAGAAGAGGCAAGACCTGAGCAGTGGGCAGGGCCTGGATTCTGCAGGGCTGAGAGGACGGGGGATGCCAGGAAGGGGCGCCAGCACTCTGGCACCAGAGGGTTAGATAACCTGAGAAGGGAACGGGCAATGGGAGGCAGCACCTGGGCTCTGCGTTTCCTGCCTCTTCTCCGGGCCCCCCGGCTGTGGAAGGCTCCTCCTCGCACTCAGCCGAGTTCTGTCAAGGCCAGGGGAGAAGAGGGTGTTTCCGAGAGGGGCAGGACAGAGGGGTACGATATGCTGGCTGAGGCGGAGAGGTGGGCGGGGCGCTGGGCTGGTCCCCTCATGAGGGGACAGCCCCGGACACTGGCAGGCAGCACATTTACAATGCAAAGAAAACATATTTCACCCAACACGTAATCAGCCTGTGGAATTCACTACCACAAAGTATCTCTGAGGCCAAGATCTCTTCAGGCTCAGACATTTGCAGGGACAATGGAGCCACGCAGAATTACACTGGAGAGCACCAAAAATTCAGCCAGGCCGTAACCCTCCATGGCGCCAGCTGGCTGGAGCCTCCCACCTGGGGCAGGCTCAGGAGGGGCTGTTGGGGGATGCAGCTGCTGGTGTCGGGAGCTGTCGCACAGGAGCCTAGT